CATCGCCACACAGATGGCCGTGCAGTGGAGAAAACCAGTATTTCTCCAGAAGTAGATTAATAAACATCATTGAGGAATGACCTAATAAAGACAATGTGGTGTGAGAAAATGCTGAGAGCTAGGCTGTCAATTAGCCCGAGAGGGTCCCTGGCAGTAAGTGGACAGGCCTGGAGGAAAGTGAGCTAGTGCCACCTGCTGGAGCTGTGCGGTGGTGCAGCTGCGGGGGACCTGGAGCCCCTGCCTTTCCACCCATCTGTGCTCCGCGTTCTCTCATCTTAGAGTTCAGAGAGCCGAGGCAGGTAGAAGTCAGCCAGGCTGGAAGGCCCCCCAGAAATCGAAGCGGTGTGATGGCTGAGAGGTCCCGTAACTGAGGACCCCTGCCCTGGCCCCGTGGCCGTTCTCCCGCAGTGCCATGGATGCCCTAGGCCACCAGGACGGTGCCGGGAAGGAGCCCGCTGTGCTAGCAAGGACAGCAGGGAGCAGGTCACCCCACACTCCTGTTCATGCCTGTCAGCCCCTGCCAGCCAGAGGCTCGGAGGGCCCACCGCCAGCAGCTGTGACTGGAGACCTGACTCCGGGGCCTGAGGCAGTGGCGCCTGCTCCCGGGCTGGGTCAGGGGGACTGTGCACAGCACACGGGGCTCTCACCGGGGGAGTGCAGGCAGGGCTGCGGCACCATCAGTCAGCAGTTGACGCCCCGTTTTTTTAATAAGCAAGGAAAAGAGGGGAGTAGGAAAGAGACCAGTCATACCACCACATTCCCAGGCCCAGGGCTGAGCAGCTGGCTGTTTGGCTGTTCTGGACGGTTGAAGGCGTCTCTAGGAAGACGTCTAGGCAGACGTGCCCCAGGCACGAGAGCTGTGGTAGGTTACTGTCAGGGCTGCAGTGCAGACCGAAGCAACTCACAAAGGGGAGTCCTGGACCGCAGTCTGCCCGGCGGCTGTGGTGCCTCGTGCGTGCAGAGGGGAGGGCACAGGCGGCTGCCACCACGACCAGTGCAGGGGCGAGTCCTGCCTCGGCTCCTAGCCTGATGCCCTCCCCACACCTGCGCCTCAGGAGGGCTCTGGGGTCCAGGGACCTTCAGTTGGTCTTGGCCTTGGTTTCCTGGCCCCCAGTCCTTGGCCTCTGAGCCTGCAGTCCTGGGAGGGCTCTCCAGTGGGTGTGGCACCCGCTGCTTCTGTCGGGCTGAGGAAGGTGCAGGGGCTGCCTGTGTGGAGAAACCAGATGGCGGTTCCTGCTGGACAAGCTGCCGAAGAAGGGGGGGGCGGGTGCAGCGGAGAGGTGGGCCGGGGCGGGGAGGGGCCGCTGCCTGAGGCTGGGGCTGCTCAAGACAGGTGCCTCCGCGCCACTGGGAAAAAGGAGTCTTAATGAAAAACAGCCTTTGACCTCAAATTATTGTTTCAGGTTGGTTGGGTTTTATTTGTTTGTTGTTTTTTAATCACCAGCTGAGCATTTTCTGGGCTTTGTTTACATTGAAAAGGACATCTCCAGGGATAGGTGCCTTCCTCTGAAAAGCGCAGAGCGGAGGGGCAGACGTGGGGCTTCCCACCCAACTAGTGCAAGGCGCCATGTGACTGGCTCCCGGGGTGCCAGCCAGCCTGGGCTGGGTGGGGTTGCTGCCCAGAAGCTGTTGCTCCAGAGACAGTTCATCTGTGACCTGCCAGGCCTCGGAAGGGACTAGGGCAGCAGGCTGAGAGCCAGCGTTCGTGTCATCTGGAGGCAGATGGGTGGGCACGACAGCCTGGGAGGGAGGAGGACAGTCAGGCGCCACAGGCAGGGGGGCTCTGCTGAGGCTTGAACATGACCGCTTGGCTTCCATGGCCAGCTCTGAGTGCCCTGGGGTGCCCTGTCCCCCGCAGGGCCAAGCTCTCAAGAATCTGCACTGCCTGGAGCTGCACAGATGCCGGAGCGGGTGTCCCGGGAGGCCTCTGCAGGGCAGACGGTGGCCTTGCTCTGGCTCACGCTCCCCAGCCCTGGGCAACGACATCTGACTGGCCTCGAGGCAGAAGCTGGCCAGGGGTGAGGGTGGGGTCACACGCCTGATGGGTGCTCTGCATGGCCCCTGAGACCTGTGGAAAAGTCCTCAGGCAAGGTGCATGCTTCAGACTGCCGCCTCTGCTCGCCCCTGGGGAGGCGCTGGCCTGGGGGAAGCACCTTTGTTTGGCCTGGTGTCAGAGGAGAGGAGCTGGCCTCCCCCAGGCCTCGTCTCCTCCCGTAGGATACCACAGCATCCCCTGCCCCCGGCCCGGTTACCCCTGCGGCCTGCAGCCCTGAGCCTCTGTCCACTTGTCCCCACGCCGACTGCCCTGGGCACCCCAGTCTCCATCCCCAACGTCTGTGCCTTTCCCCAACGCTGCTCCCTCAGTTGGGAATGGCCGCCTCCTCGTCCATCGTCAGGGTAACTCGTGCTCGTCCCTCGTGCCACATTAGGTGGTCTCTCCAGGAAGCCCCCTTCAGCTCCGCCTGGCCAGCAGCTGGTCAAGGTCTGTGCCTCGGTGCCCCCGCACCTCAGCTGAGCAGCTCCCTTTCCTCCTGGCCTGGCCCCCCGTGGACCTGCCTGCTCGACACGTCGCGGGCAGCACGGCGTGTGCAGTGGGTTGGCAGTGTCGGGCCCTTGCAGGTGCCTCTGGCACTGTGTGGGCTTCGCAGAAACACACCACTGCCATCCACGCCTGCACTCAAGTCCCCAGCCCTCTGTGTGCCCTCCCGCCCAGGCCTCTGTCTTACTCCGCCCTCAGCTGAGACTCCTACTGCCTCTCAGGTTCTGGATGCTTCGCAGTCCTGCTCTCCAGTCCCAACACCCCCACCACCTGTGGGCTGCGTTTCCCCTTGCTGCAGATGAGCACGCCAGGCCCAGGGGGCAGATGACTCGCCCGGTCGGTCCACACCAACCCCCTTCCCCACCCCCGATGTTTGCCTCTTTTGAGTTACCCTTCCCTGGCACTTCCCTGCCTCGCTGCTTCTCGACATCGTTTTGAGCTCACACCACCAGCAGAGTCCCCTGCTTGGGCCCCCAGGGCCACCCAGCTAAGGTCCTGCGCCCTTGGGAGCCCTGTCAGCAGGGGGCGTCAGATGGGCCGGGCATGTGGCTCTGATATTCTGGAGCAAGCGTGCTCTGGGTGTTGCCCGCACAGCGTGGGCTCCGTGTCCCCACAGAGGAGGTTGGAGCGGGCTGCGGGGAGGGGGGCGCTCTAGGGCTGGGGTGTCTTTCTCCAGTGGGAGCTGTTTAGTTAGGCCTTAGAGGTGACGGAGCGACCCCAGCAGTCACGGCCTTGTCTGGGGACGTGGCACGTTCCCTGCACGTCTGCAGCTGCGTCCAGCAGACACGTCTAGGGAGTGAACGAGAGGGGCGTGGGGGGGCGGGCGATGAATGGTCCTGCTGCTGCCCCACCGTGCCGTCCCAAAGGCAGTGCGGGCTCTCCGGGCTGCGGTCTCCCCGGAGAGCGGCCGGTGCCGTCCCTTCCAGGGGAGCGTTGCTCGTTGCTCTTCGCAGTGGGACGGCGGCTCAGCAGGTCTCTGAGCGGCACCGCGGGGCTCCCTGCGCATCACCGATCTGACGGCCACGACAGGCCGCAGTCGCGGCCGCTTGTAATTGCCTGTTTCCTGAGTGAGTGAGACGGGGAGTGGGCGGGAGCCGGTCTCCAGCCCAACCCCCTCTCTTCGCTGTTTCTTCCCTGACAGCAAGCAGCAGCGGGGGGCCAAGGGGGTGCACAGCCTGACTTGTCACAACCCTGGAGTTTAGGTCCGCGGGGACATCGCTGAGAACAGTGAGAAGGGAGGGGGAAGACCAAAGGGTCGAAGCCAAACCTGGGAAACATAAATCTTTTAAATCATTTCATCTGACGGTCATGGGTCCTGGCCTTGCCCAGGAGGGAAAGCCACCTCCTTTCTTTTTCCTAGGTGACAACCAAGGAGTGGCTCCTGCCAGCAGCCCAGGGCACTTACCAAAGCTCGACAGCGGAGCTGGCAGGAGAGCGGGCCCCTGTCCCTGAGTCCTCGGCAGAAACCTCAGAACGGTGCGGTGTCTCTGTCAAGGCCGAGAGACCACTGACCGCCCACCAGCCGTGCAGGGACCACCACCAGGGGCTGTCCCGAGGCCGCGCCAGCCAGGCGGAGGGGCAGGTGCATGCAGACAGCTGCGTGGGGCAACCTGCTCCTTGTGTTGGAAGTGGGTCTGTTTCTCCTCCTGCTGGCTCCTTTGCTCACCTGCGCCGTTTGTCCTCTGCAGGTCCCTGGGGCCTGTGCCTGTCCCTGGCAGGTAGCTGGTGCTCAGGAAGCATTTTCTAAATGAGCAAATGAACGTTCTCGCCCTGTGTCGGGAGTGTGAGACTCGGGGCCCTTGGGGTTGAAAACACTGTGCGTGTTAACGTAACATTCCCTGAAAACACTGGGACGTGAACTGGAAGGTAAAACACAGCCCCACGGCCAGGCTTGAGCCGACTGCTCCGCACGTGCTGCCCGGTCAGCTGTCCCCACTGGCTCCCCTTGGCGGGGGCTGGGGGACGCAGGGGCCTCGTGCTGTGCTGGGCCCAGGTGGCTGCCTGGTGGCTGACCTGAGGCTGAGGCCGGGGCCGGCACGCTGCTTGTCTTGTCGGTGCCTCCTGCCTGCGAAGACGAATTGGCCTCGGGCCACTGTCCTCCGTCAGTTCGGTGGCTGCTGCTGATTCTAATGGTCCTCACGTCTGCCTGTGCCCAGTCACGCCACGCAAGGATGTAATTAAATCCTCTGAACAGCACTTTGGGACATTTGATTATGCAGACGGACTCCATAGAAACGGAAGCCGTTGTGTGCAGCTGGTTCGCCTGCGGTTTCTGTCCGTGCTCATGTTCTGTGCAAATTTCCTGAAAGGGAGGAGAGGGGGCGAAGCCGGGAGGCAGCGGGTGGGCCCTGCTGCGTGGCCTCCCCCTGCCTTTCCTGGGAGCTGGAGCACTGAGGGGCGAGTCCTTGCAGCTCGGCCCCAGCCCCGGGCCCTGCTCAGTCCCCGGCCCTTCTCTCCCCAGGAGCTGCCAGAGCATGACGAGCTTGGTGAGCAGCACCACGTCGCCTACCAAGGACGGGACCTCCTCTCTCCCCCGGAGGCCGAGCTCCTTCGCACGGCCCCCGCTCCGCGCCCTGTACGACCTGCTCATCGCGCCCATGGAAGGGGTGAGTGCCGCCGGGGCCGCGAGGCTTCGTGGCGTCAGTCAGGATGCCCCACTTACTGCTCAGGGCCCATGTGGAGGTTGCCAGCACCCCAGTCTCCTCCGACTTCTCAGTCAGCATCTGGAAGTTGGCTGCTTGTCTAGATAAGGCACTGAGCTTCCAAGCTGGCAGATCCAGGTTCAAGTCCCAGCTCTGCTCCTTGTAGCCGGGGATATTCGGCCTCAGTTCTCTTTAGGACGAACAGAGTAACGCTCCCTCCCCAGCCTCCTCAGACGTTGGGAGGCTCAGGAAGGTAGAGGGCACTTCCCAGCCGTTGTCAGTAGGAACTGCTGGAGCAGACACCTTGGGGGACATGCCAGTGGCTCTGCCACACCCTGCTGGGGGAGCACCCCCACGGCCCCACCTCTCATTTGAGGGTCTTGCCTGAGCAAGTACAACCCAGGTCTGTGCTTTGTGGGGAGAACAGATCCCTCAGCTTTTGCTGTTGTCAGGGTTCACTGATTGTATCGGAGACCAGTGTCAAAGACATCCTTGCACTTGCGATTTCTTGAGGTAGTTGAGTGGCCGCTGCCAGATTTTTAAGGCCCTGGCCTTTGCACAGGGCTCTCCAACTGGGTGAGGACTCAGACATCTTCGGGAGTCTGAATGGTGAGCCCATCAGATGCCATGCGTACGACTGTGTGTTAGTCAGCGCTGGCTGCGTGACAAACAGCACAGACCGCACAGCTTCAACCATGACACTGACCTCCCGCTGTTCTGGAGGCTGGAGGCCCCAGATCGGGGTGCCAGTGCCATCAGTGTCGTGGTGAGGGCTCTCTTTCTGGCTTGCAGATGGCCACCTTCTCACTGCGTCCTCAACTGGCAGAGAGAGAGCAGGCTTAAGTCTCTCCCTCCTCTTGTAAGTGCACTAACATCATGGGCTCCCTGCCCCCGTGACTTCATCTAAACCAAACTAGCTCCCCACCGCAGTGGGGTGGGGCACGATGATGGGCCCTGAGAGCAGGCAGCAAGCGTCCGCCTCTGCTGCCGGAGGGGAGCACATCCAGGAAACTGCACCTCGGCAGCGATGCCCTCTCTCCAGAAGTGTCTGCCACGTCCCTGCCCGGCCGCCCGCAGGTGTGTCTCCAGTCGTCTGGTGACACTCGGGAGGCCCGCCCGTGCCCTGTGGGCTTCCCGCACATGGGGAAACAGGGACGAGGAAAGCACCAGGCCTCCAGAAGCCTGCAGGCTGGACCCAAGTCTGGCACTGCCCATTCCTGGCCGGGTGACCTTGGCCAAGCTGCTTGCCCTCCTCGAGTACATCTGTCCTCCCTAGGAAATGGAGATACTGATGCTGAGTACATCAGGTTAGAGCCGGGACGGGATTAGGTGAACGTGAAAAGCGCGTAGGGCCGAGGCAGCAATGGGCACGCACCTGGCGGTTGGGGGGCTGCTGTGCCCACACCTGCCTCTGCCGGCTGAGCCTCCCCTTACCTGGAGTGTCCAGTTGCATCGGCGTAGCAGCCAGCCCTGTCCTTCCCTCCCTGCAGCCCATGCGGCCGCCCTGTCCTTTGCAGGATCAGTGTCCTCCTTTTCCGGAGAGGAGCACGGCTGCAGAGGGCACTCCGAGCGTCTTGGGTGCCATGGCGTTACTTAGTCTGACTCACGTGCGGTACCGCGGGGAAGACACACACATCCGGGTGCCCCGGCCGGTTTCCCGGCGCTCTTTACTGCCCCAGCCGTCGGGCACGCTGCTCCGGTGGCTTCCCAGCAGCCCTGACCTCCGCGTCCCACACACATCCTCCAGCTCCTCCGCAGGCTGTGTGGACCCTCCATCACTTCACTCGCTGGGGCAGTGAGTCCCTCCGCATCTCCCCTTTGGCGTTCAGGTCTCGGATTATTTGCTCCCTGAATGTTGAACTGGAGCTGGGGCCGGCAGGGGAACGGCGGAGTGTAAGGGCGGGGACGGGCTGTGACTGTCGCCTCTGCCAAGGCTGACTCCAGCGCGTACCCAGAGGCTCAGGTCGTCCGGGGCTGGTGGCTCTTCGCCTTCCTCTGGCCCAGCGCAAGTGCCCCTCCTCTTTGAAGCCTTTCTTGCCCCTTCTCCCCGTGCCCTGCAGCCTTTGTCCCCTGCCATCCTTGTGCCAGGCCCCGTGGCACCTGGTAACTTCATAGACTCAGGGCTTACCTCTCCGCATGCCTCCCATTCTCTCCCTTGCTGCCCACCTCACTCCCTCAGGGCAAGGAGCGCCGTCACCTTTCTGTCCCCAGCAGCTGGCACAGGGCCCGGTGCGTGCTGGCACTCAGTAAAGTTTATGGGCTGCTACGTGGTCCAAAGCTGCGTCAGCTTTTTGGGTCTGGTCTAGCACAGAAAGTGGGAGACCCACAGCAAAAATCAGCTTGTGTTTTTCTGTGGCCCCTCTTGTGTGGCCCCGGGAGCTTTCTGAGGGGTTACGAAGCAGAAGGAAGGGGCTGCGCCTGCTCTTGAGCGGCTTTGAATCTGGTGAGCCTCCAGCCCTGCCAGCCAACGCAGTGCCAGGTTCCCGGCATATTTCCGGGTAGGGTCAGAAATCCAGCCACAGGCCTGCCGGGGCCGTGTCTGGGCGTTGTTTCAGTGGCTGGTGCGGCCCCACTGACTGGGAGGGGCTCTGCTCCCAAGACAAGCCCTGCAGGCAGAGAACAGTGCAAAGCAGCAGCGGGGGTGGGAGAGACGGCCCCTCCTTCTGTCCAGTGCGGTGTCTCCGCAGGCGAGAAGCTGCTCGGGGCCGGGGCTGGGAGTCCTCCCAGTGGGGTCTCTGTGAGTTTACACAGTCTGCCTGTGTTTTTCAGACAGCTTTACTCCCGGAGGACTTCCCCTGCGACCTACAGAAAACCGTGCCAGTGAGATTAGTGGCAGCACGTGTCTGGACGTGGTGCGCTCCTCCAGGGGTGCGAGGAAAGGGAGGGTTTGTGGGTCCGAGCCCTCGACGAGCTAGGGCAGTGGCTGCAGCCGCCCTCTCCAGCGAACCACAGTGGCAGGAGCCGCCCCGTGCGACAGCGGCACCCTCCGCACTCAGGACCACGTGGCATGGAGGCGGTGACGGGGTGCAGGGCAATCTTGAAGTGAGGCGTTCAGTTAGAAGGCACGTCCTCGGCTCTTGACACAACCACCTCTTGTGACTGAGGTGACTGAACGCAGTGACAGAGTTTGTTTGCTTCAAATGAGACAGAGTGGACCTTTCAGGGGCCACTGAGGGGACGGATCAGAGCACAGGCTTGTCCTTGGCAACCGAAGCGGCCCGCTGTGTTTCACCAGCACCGCTGGGCTGCAGAGCTGGGCTCTGCTCAGGAGCCTCTCCTGCCCCCAGCTTCACCCAGCCTTTGGAGCACCATCGGCGCACAGTGGCACACTCTCCCACACTCCAAGGGAGGCAGCGGGGGAGCTGGAGGTGGCCCCGCGTCTGACGCTCACGGACCACGGACGGGTCAGGTGGGGCGGACAGGCCAGGGTCAGAGGTCAAGGGACCCTGGGGAGGCCTACTAGCTCCTCCCCAGCGGGGCTGCTCCCCTGCAGGAGGCAGCCTGGGTCCTCCTCAGGCTTCCTGTGGCCGCACGCTCACTCAATCCAGAGGCCACTAGAGGGCGACATGACACCGTCAGCCTCTCCCAGTGGCCGCCAGACGGAGCCAGAGCCTTCTCCATGTTGTCATCGAAAGTACAAGTCAAAACAAAGTCCAAGATTACAAATCCCTGACACTTCAAGACTAAAGCGGTTAGTCTCTTCACATGGGGCTTGTAATTATTTGAACAACTGCTTCTGCTCAGTGGCAGCCCTGCTGCTGCGAGGGGACTGGGTTGGCAGCAGGAAACGCAGGACAGGACGTTCCGCAGCAGGCCTGCCCTGGTGCCTGAGTCTGGCTCGGGGCAGCGCTGTCTCTCCCTGAGCCGCACCAGGCTGGGCTGTCGGGCCGGGGCGAGCCATCAGGGCCCAGTTACAGCTACAGAGGAGCCTTCCGCAAACCTTGGGTCAGATCCTGTCCGCTACCAAATGGAGAAACTGTCACCACGGAACAGTTGCAAGTGTTCAGTGTGAAAGGGACTGGGACCCTGTGTGTGTCCGAGACATTTGGTTTTCATCAGTTAGCACGAGGGACGGTAACTGGCGCCTCCAGCCCAAGCTTCCCTGCTCTGGTGAAAGGCCCACCTGGCCTCCCGGTGGGGAGGCTCTGACCCACGGCTGTCAGCGCCTTCTGGGGTCACTCTGGGTGGGGCGAGGCCCCAGGGCTGCTCCAGGGGAAGCTGCTCCTTCACTGCAGTCCCATGTGGGGCCTTCACCAAAGCCAGAAACTGCTTTAATCAAGGAAACAGATCCAGAACAGGAGATTCCTTAGGATTTGGCCAAATCACTCGTTGCAGGTCCATACTGGGGACTTTCGGGGCCCTTAGAGATAGGACTTCTTTGAGTCTTGGGCATCCTTATCGTTATTTCCATTTATTTTAGTTCCTTGTTTCCTGTATTTGCATCTAAAAACCAAGGTTCTAGGACCACCGGACTTCGATCAGAAAGGGAAAGACCACCCCCCACCTCTGCTCTTGGCGAACGTGGCTGCCTGTCGAAGTTGAGTTACCTGTTTCAGGGCCACAGGAACTTGCTTTGAAACTCACGTCTGCGCTGGTTAGGTTGGGAAACCTCGTTGCTGAGCGCTGGAGCTCTGGGGCGCCCCTCGGGGCTCCCCTCCAGGAATGTGGGGCGGGCCGGCCCTGCCGAGGGCTCAGCCAGGAGGAGAGCGAGGCTGTGGCTGGGCCAGGGCTGCCAGTGCTGCCCGGGGGAAGGACGCCTGCACAACCGAGCCCCGCAGTGACCAGCTCACCCTTGGACAGAGGCCCCGGGGGATGAGGCTGACCATTCAGGTGCTGGTTTTCTGAGTAGACTGCAGGGTTCGGAGAGAGCGGGCAGTGTTCGTGCCCAGAAACGACCACCCGCGACCCCCAGTGTGGAGTGGGGGTGAGGCCTGGAGACCCGCACGTGCAGGGCCGGCAGCTGG